AAGTACTTTCATGCCAGCCAGGGGAGAAACAAGTTGCTTTGCCATGACAAAATACACAAGCACCTGTATGAAGTACTTCTGCTTTCTCTAGATGGAGTTAATGTTTTCCAAGTCTTTACAGATATGAGATAAAGTCCAACAGGCCTGTTTTTGTACTTTAAAAACACTTCACTTGAACTAATCTCTAACATTTGCTTTTCCGCTGCTTTCATCTTTGCTTTATAAGTGCAAATGAAACAGGTGATAACATTGAATGGGAATAAAAAAAAAATACAACAGAATAACAAAAATAAAATGATATACCAGCTAATTCATGGCGTCTGGAATACGACCACATATACTGCTGAAATGGGTCACAGTGCTTTTGGGACAATATCAAAAAATGCACTCCCCATGTACATGGTGCACCTTACACCACACAGCAGTATATATTCACTCAGTTTGGGCTTTTATCCAAATGCCCTCATGATCAAGTACAGGAACGATCAGGATCAAGCAAGGGTCAGGAGGAGCGAGTCAGGTAGCTAGTCACAAGAAATGCTGTTGGCTCACTTCTTCTAACAAGTAAAAGTAAACACAGGCACAGGGGGGAAACCATTTTCAATAAATCCCTGAGGTTAGAGCTACATGATGTACCATTTTAATACATATGCAACACAGATAAGACACGGTGCATTAACAGATGTTCCTGGTCCTAACAGATGGGAGTAGTTTACTACATGTAACTTTACAGTCAGGCTGTGATCTGAAACCATTACAGTGGCAGGTCTGTCCAAACATATGATCATTATAGAGGAAAAAGCTGATTCTAAACACAGTTCACATGAAGATAAAAAAAAAAACAAAAAAAAAACTAGGAAACAATTGGCAAAAGTACAAATTACACTCTCCAAGAATCTTTCCATAACTAAGCGCACTAAATGGCTGCTAAAGGCTTAAGCCATCTATCATTCACGCTGGTGATGTTTTCAGCTGCTACAGCCTGCTGGACCAGAAAACTAACCTCAGTTTCAGTGGCAGATCAGAGCCTCATAGTTTGGCACGGAGAAAAGCTGATGAAATAATGACTCCTCCTCCAGCAATAGTGCTATACATCAGCAAAGTGCATCATAAATCTGCTGTGCTAATCCAAAGAGATCCTTCTTAAAATGAAAAAGGAAATCTTCAGTGCGAGACAGAGGCAAATGGAAATGAAACAGGACTGTAATGAGAGTGATGAGTGCTGATGCTGGGGAGAGGAGGACGGGAGCTGCCTGCAGGATGATGGTGACCTTCCTACTGCTCGTTCAGAACAACCAACACCATCTTGGGGCGCACATCAAGAGACAACCCCGCCCACAGTGGGAGGAAAACAGAGGAGTGCAGAGGAGCAGGTCGGATGGGGGAGGGAGCCATCCTGATCTAGACTCCGCTTCTCTATACTCATCAGACACAAAGGAATAGACCTAATGAGACACAATGGAATAGGCTAAATGACACTATTTACAGGCTCAAAGGGAGTTTCACATGTCACCAAGGCTGAGGGCACACAACACACTGCAAGGTTAAAACCTGTTATTGCATGTGTGTGGAAATATTACACTGCTTTACATATAACCCCTGGCCCTATGTTCTCGTTTTAGCACCAAGCAATAAACGTCTGTTAAATCAAATCATTTACCTAGTGCACTCCAGAAAGCTGTCCTAAAGCTAAACACCCAACATTTGAAACATGACACCTGAACTGTAACAGTTACTAATACATACCTCAGGAAATACTCCATTCATACAGATGGACCATCTCTTCTGTGACGTTCACAGGTTGACTAATGAAGCAGTGTTGATCAGTTTACCACCAGTTAGTTTCTGATAACATGATTAAACTGGATTTCAGAAAAATCACAATTCAAATACCTCTGTATAAAAAGAGCAGCATTGACCTGAAGTGAAAAATCCATCCAAAGAGGTGTCCATTTATTTCACCGGTTCAACTCATACCGCTAGAATGTAGAGCACCTACACTAAAGCAATGTTGTATTTGCATTACATATAAGACGCTCAATTAGTGGACTTAAAAAAGTACAGAATGTACTACTTGGTTCACAGACAGAGGCATTAGCAGCATTAGCTACAAGTATCCATATAATAAGACAAAAAATAAAAATAAAAGAGAAAATCATTGAATAGACAAGAGACCTAATATGCTGTTGTTTTCATTATGTGCATGAGGACTGAATTTTATGGACAAGTTAGTCTTGCAGGGGGATCAAAGGTCATACAATATCTTGAAGCAATCTTAGCACTTCTAGCTCAGGAGCCAATACAAATGCCCAAGAGGTTTTCACAGTGTTAAGAAAGATAGTTCTGTGTTTAAAGAAACAACTTGGTGAACTTGGCATTGACTGCTTCATTTCCCTCTGAGGAGTGGAAATCTGGACTATCTCTTGGTCATGATTGCCCATCCAGAGCTCCACTCTTCATTAGTCTTCATCTCCAGAGAGGCCTCAATCCTCACATTATCACATCTCCCTTTCCCAAACACCATCATCACTCAGTCCCCTGTTTCTCCTAATCTCTACCTATCATCACTGCACTACAGTCATTTAAGTCAATTAGGCTTTTTTCCACTGATCTCAAATAGTGGATCAACTGAATAACCCTTAATTGACATAAATGTGCATTTGCTACTGCAAAGTTTAACTGCACATTGGATCTTTGTGACTTCATTACAGGATAAAATTGGGTTTTGTTTAAAGCAAGCCTACAGACAAAAGTTGAAATATTTGTCTTATATTAAAGAATGAACTGAAAATCCTTAATGAGCAAATACAAAACATTGCACAGACTTTTGAGAAAAGACATTTTGAGAAAGGGTGTGGTGCATGTTAATGTAATGATAGTAAAAACTGTAGCATAGGAAATGGAAAAGACTGCAGACTGCAGTGGGAGAATCAACAGACCAGTGGCAAATGTCTGTGCCACCTCCCCAGAGATGCATTTCCTGTCTACTTGACGAAGTTTGACACCACCAGATCACTTAATCTTCCTCTGTTTCCTGCACAAACAGCAATCCAACACACTGCTCGCACTGGCAGACACAAAAGAGAGTCAGCCATCAAGGAGGGTGTGGCAGGGCCTGGGACAACGAGGAGGGAAGTGCCACTGACACTGTCCAGTCATCCATCACTCCACTGGAAACAGCTGCTAAAAGGGCTGTTTTCCTACTCATCTGTGTCTGAAAAATGTCTGCCTGAATATTGCAACTGATGCAAGTAGAGATAACAGGCAGAACATCTGTCTAAGTTAAGTTGTATTTTGTAGAAAATATGACACCTGTGTCTCCACCACTTTTCGACAATGATGTAGCAAATGCTGAAAAACAGTCCTTCATATTTGATTTAATATAGTGATAATTACATGTTAATGACTCTGCACAACCTCAACGTGCTTAGAACACAGACAGGCAATCTTCTGAATATTTGCAAATTACTTTAAACACATAAAACAAGAAATCATGTGGTTATCATTTGACATGAGCGCTGCTAATTACTGAGCTCAACCAATTTCATTTTGTTATGACTTTCGCAGTTCACAACGGAGCTATGACTTTCTACCTCTATCTAGGAGGTTCTTCGTTATCAATAAAGGCGGATCGTACACGTTCATTCCTTCACAAGACTTATTTTAACATTTTTCAGTATGTGTACTTGATAGTTTAGCTAACCTGTTAGTAAAGCTTGCTTTTTGATCTGTTTAGCGCTCCCGTCAGCAACTAGCTAGCTTCGGCTAACCAGCTAGCGTCACCACTCCCTAGTTATTCCGAGTTCACCCTGTTCAAATCGCTGAGCCCATGGTTTCTAAATACGGTGTTTTAAATTTATGTTACTTACATACACGGCCATATACATGATTCACGTAATTATAATATTAATAAGTACAAATATAGTTAACACTTACCGAGAGCTAGGACTGACGGCTAGCTCAGCCCCTTTAAATCCAAAATGTCTCCGGCACAGCGAGATACTCCCAGCAGCCTCTACGGCTGAGCAGAGGTTAGTGACGTCATGTTTTGTTTTCGCCACTTTGGAGAAATCATCTGCTGCCACATTATCTATCTATCTATCTATCTATCTATCTATCTATCTATCTATCTATCTATCTATCTATCTATGCTTTTTTCTGACTGTAGTCGTGTCCATAAACAAAAATGTTGAGTATTATATTTCTCAAAAATAACACACATTTTCTAAGATAAGGAAGATAAATATACAGGATACTGCGGACATAATACTAAAAGGCTTAATTCTTACTTTCAAAGGCATAGGAGCACTCTTTAATTCCACCGCAGAGAAAATACCAAAGAGGTAGTGACATCTGGTGGTTAACTTGTGAAGACAAAATATGATTGAAAATTCTACCGGTTCAATGTCATTTCAATTCTCCACATTTCTCTAAAAAACAATCCTTCTCTGTGGGAAAATGAAACGACAAATATTCAATTTCTCTTGTATAATTACTCATTAACTTCCTCGTGTTGTTGAAAATTTGATTTATTGTCAAAATAAACCCAAACAAATTGTGATTATGAACGCAGATAATTTTAGAAAAAAGTGCGGACTATAAGTACAAACTAGACTAAAAACTAAAATGAGACGACTGTTACAATGAATCAACCTTTTTATAAACATTTTATGGCACGGATCCCATTTTGAACAGTCAGCTGCGTACAGCAATAAAAAGTTAGAAACCGCATCCAGTCAGTTACATTACTGTAATATATGAGGAGGATATTCTGCCACCTAGAGGCGACATTGAAGCCAGCACAATTTGGCACAATAAGGAGGCCGGTATATTTAGCTAATGTTACCATACTCTATATATTATGACAGAATGACATACAATTCATGTAAGCTATAAACAAGAGAATATTAATATATCACAAACGTACAACTTTAACTTCTACTGTATGATGTAAATAAAGGAGAAAACTGTGGATGCCCGTGGCTTACACAGCGCTCTCCCACTATACGTCATCAGTGCGCGACTAAGCGTGTAGGACTGTGAAGGACGCCGACGAGCAGCTTGGGATGAAATAAATTAAAAATAAAGGTTGGTTTCATGTTACTGTTTAATTGGATTACATAGCGAATTGTATACGAGACAAACGGCTAATTTATTTATAAAAGGATTAGAAAAGGGCAGGTTATTTAGCCAAGTTAGATGGCTTGGTAGAGACAAGTTACGTTAGCTGTAGCTCACGTTTACGTGCCGATAGGTTACTGTTAGTTATGTTATGACCGTTTAAGCACAGCGGAGGCAGAAATGTAGTGGGGTATGTTATTTTGTTGAAAAACGTGTGTGTAGTGTGGTGTAGATGTTGTATCACATACATTAAAATTAATGGCAGAGACAGTGAAGCTTTAAATCTCAGAGATGTCAACCTGCCTCTCCTCTGCTCTGCTGACAGAAGGACGTTGTGATGGCGTTGTCGTGTCTAACTCGAGCACTGAGGTCCCTGACTGTCTCCCAGCCTGCTCTGCTCTCCTCGCAGGTAAATGTCCACTCCCTGTCAGTCAGTCTCACCACAGAACTGAATCATCACAACCACCAAACAAGCAATGTTTGTTTTTGTGTCGACAGGCAGCTGCACAGTCCAACCTGGGAGCTCAGATGCCCACCACAGTGGGTCACTGCAGAGGCTTCCTCACCACGGCCCCTCTAGAGCAGAACAAGACATTCTGGAAGCAGAGGGAGAAGTACACCATCAGACCAATAGGAATGAAAAAGACAGGAGGCAGAGATCACACAGGTACAGAGTTTGGCAGAACAGGATGAGTGGTAGTGTGTTTATGAGCAAGGCTGAAGTTAGCTTCTAGTCTGCAGGTCCTGACTTACCCATTGTTCTGTTTTCACAAATATATTAAAAGCTTAAAAATCTCAAACAGAGTTGAAAACAGTCTTTTGGTCCTCAGAGTCTATCTAGTCAAGGTCTGACTGGCATAACTGCAGAAGACCTATGTGATCTGAACAGAGTAAAGCAGTGAAAGTTTTTACACATAGAACAAAGTTTAAATCTGGCACAGAGTATCAAACAGTCTCTAGACTGTCAATGTGAGTAAAACAGCTTTTGTAAACCTGTATCAGGGTATGTACACTAGTCTTTGAAATGGCAAAACTGAAAATGTCCTGTAGAATAAAAATTTGAAGTAGAGCTGAAACAATTATTTGGCTGGTCAATAGACAGAAGATTAATTGGCAACTATTTTGATATTCTGGCTTTTCAGTTGTGAGAATTTGCTGCTTTGTGTGCTTTTAAAAAATGAATATCTTCGAGTTGTGGACTGAAAACAAGCAATTTGAAGATTTTAGCTTGGGCTATAAGAAATTACCTTTTTTTTCTTCTTTTTTTTCTGATGGTTTATAGACCAAATGATGAATCCATTAATCAAATAAAGAATTGGTGGAATAATCAAAAATAAACATATCATTAGGTGATCACCTAAGATTAATTTTCCCTGAAGTTTCCTCCTAACTCATTAATCAGAAGTCAACTGTGATACTTGCTCTGGGCTACAGCTGAGGTGTGAGAGTTGCCCATCTCTTTCTCTCTCGTACAGGAAGGATAAGGACACATGGCATTGGTGGTGGCCATAAACAAAGATACCGCTGGGTAGACTTCCAGAGACTGCGCTATGAATCCGGCAAAGAGGCGCAACCCTTTGAAGAGAAGGTTGTGGAAGTGCGATACGACCCATGCAGGTCAGATTAACTCTCATCACACACAGGACTCTTATTAACATGTATACTAAGGATCATGAACATACAGTTGGTTATCATAATCTGTTTTGTCTGTATAGGTCTGCTGACGTTGCCCTGGTAGCTGGCGGCAACCGTAAGAGATGGATCATTGCTACAGAGAACATGCAGGCTGGAGACGTCATTAAAACATCTGGAGTTATTGGACGAATGGCAGGTATGAGATCCATCTCTCAAAGTGCCTTGAAATTATAAAGATTTGATAGATGTTAGAAATTGTTGGTCTTTGTAACCTAAAAATGATGTTTAACACAAAATAATGTCCTTTTGTTTTGCTTTGCAGTCTTAGCCAATGAAGGTGATGCCTACCCACTGGGGGCTCTTCCTGTGGGGACACTGGTGAACAACCTGGAGATACAACCAGGGAAGGGATCAGAGTACATTCGTGCTGCAGGTAAGATATTATTTTGAAGGGTTTGTACTTGATAAATTCTAATCTAATTGAATCTTTATGTGTCAGTGTGTACAGCTAAAGCTGCAACTAATGATCATTTGCAGGAATGATTAACCTTTCAACTTTTTTCATAAATGGTTTACTCTGTAAAATGTCATAAAATGGTGAAATGCCCATCATATGATTTCACAGAGTTAATTCTGACGTCTTCGCATTGAATCACGATGTTTTGTCCGAGCAACAGTTCAAATATTCAATTTACAATGATTTAAAGCAGAAGAAAAGCAACAAATCGCTGGAACTTGTAAATTTGTCACATTTTTGCAAATGAATGATTCATTCATCAAAATTGTTGTTAAATCATTTTCTGAAGTTCAGTGACTCGACTTTGTTATTCACTGTAACTAGTTATTGTTATGCATATGTAAGGCAATATTTTGTCAGGGCTTAAAGCAAGGAAAATTGCTGTGCCTGAAATGTGTTCAGGGGTTAGCTGTAGGCTACAAGCCAGATGGATGATGGCTGTGGCGCATATCGTGACCCATTTCAGAAAGACAAGAACACCAAATCTAATTGTTTCTAAATGTGAATCCTCACGTTAACTTGAAAGGTCCAAATGGAAGGAAAATGCATTAAATACTCCTCACCCATTCCTCACTCGGAAACCATAGTCTGGTAATTGTATCCGAGTCCAAGCAAAACTTTCAAAGCCATAAAGAATAACCTATCCAATACGCCTATCTCTCAAACTTTTCAACGCTCATTCCTCCGTTGGTCTTTAAACGGCGTATGTGGCATAACAGACCTACTGTTGTCAAATGATTGCCAAATTAGTCTATGATATGAAAACAAAATGAATAGCCTATTCATTGCAGCGCTTTTTCAAAGTAGCGCGGTCACGTGCATTATTAAACTGACACTTCACTGAGACAAAGTGTAAACAAAGGTTTTTATTAATAAAGTAGGTCTACGTGGTTAATACAAAATATAAGGTCCCTTATGACCTAATGTGCATGTCTTTGGACTGCGAGAGGAAGCCGGAGTACCCGGGGAGAACCCACGCAGGCACACAAACTCCACACACAGACGGGCCCTGGGCCCAGGGTTCCCTGTAACTTTCTCACTGTGAGGTGATAGTTCTAACCACTGCACCCCGTGCCACCCAGTAAGAAAGTCATTGTGTAGTGAGGCATAAAAACGTCACAGTGTAGTAAGGCATAAAAAAGTCAGTTAGTGTTGCCAATTAACCTATTGTGCATGTCTTTGGACTGTGGGAGGAAGCTGGAGTACCCAGAGAGAACCCATGTTCAGGAATTCATAGTATAATAAGGCATAAAAATGTCATAGTATTGTAAGGCATAAAAACATGAATTTGAGGCAAAGGATCATGTATTTTCCAGATGCCTTGTGTACTTGAAAAAAAGTAGCCACTGTTAAATGTGGTTGCTATCTAAAAAGTAATTGTTTTTATTTTTATTTTCAGGCACAAACGGTGTTTTACTCCGCAAAGTAAACGGAACAGCCATCGTTCAGCTTCCTTCAAGGCAGCAGGTTCAGGTGAGGTTACCTGGATCAACATTATTCTGGCTATATTAAAACCATACTCTGAATTTAATGATGTCATCTTTCCCAGGTACTGGAGACCTGCATGGTTACAGTGGGACGTGTATCCAACATTGACCACAACAAAGAGATCATTGGAAAAGCTGGTCGCAATCGCTGGTTTGGCGTTCGCCCCTCGAGTGGTTTGTGGCAGAGGAAGGGAGGCTGGGCAGGACGCAAGATTAAACCGCTGCCTTCGATGAAGAGTTACGTCAACCTGCCCTCAATCGCAGCTAAATAACACAACAGAAGTCTGGGCTTGGAGATTGCTGTCTGTTGCTTTTCATCGCCTTGTAATATTATTTTGGGCTTTACAAAGCTCTGAGAGAAAATCTAAATAAAGACAAACTGTTTGTACAGAAGATTAAAAATTTTATTAAACACAACTGCTTGTGAGAGCATGGAAAGAAACAAAACAATATAAAAATCCAAAACATATTTACATCTATAGTAAAACATGCAGAATAACCCATATTTTTTAGTGGTAAATTTAAAAATACTGTCATGTCATTTAAAATAGGGTTTGTGCAAAGACACTGGGTGGCTTTTCAAGTAACAGGAGCAATGAGATGGCATGTTGTAATCTTTGTAGTTTGACCATCGATGAACAACATTAACACTGATGCTGGAGTTGATTTTTTTGCAGTGCTAAATTATGGTGACAAAGTAGGCATGCCTGCTCATTGATCCAGCCTTGTGAAACACCCCCATGCTACCTCTAGATTTAGGGCAAAAAAAAAGAAAGAACTCGAGGTCATATACATTGAAATCCACTTGTCATTGTGCCCATTTAGTATTCAAAAGGGCTAACTCACATGACAAATTCCCTCAAACCAATCTGCCCTGGCAAACACTTCACAGCCCGAGTTTACAAATACATAAGGGCTAGTTGGTCTCCTGACTAAGAGAAGATAGTGAACCCTTCAAAAAGCAGGAGACAAGAAAACTTTGACTGTGTAGTACAGGCAGACGGGTATGGTGGTAGCTGCAAAATAAGCTTTTCATCATCAAGTGGCAAAACAATAAGTAACAGACAGCCATGATGGTTTTCAGACCACAGAGGGCGCCTGAACCCATCAACATAAACAACATCCTCATGAAAAAAAAAGGGTCATTTTTAAAATTGAAAAGAAAAAACACGGCCTTCTCTTGACTATAGGTAGTGGTTTACATTTCAAATATAACACCTCTAACACTTCACCTCAAATCCAAAGTGTGTCCCAATTTGAGTTAAAATGTGTATAAAACCACATGAAAGTGCATTACAAAGTGAGGGAAATGTATGAGAAATAACATACCTAATAGTGTTTACAAGTCAACGTCATAGGTATGAGTTCTGTAAATATATTTGGTATTTATGTCAAGAAATAAAGGTAAGCTATTTGTGCTTTCAATTTAGTGGAAGGGGGGGTTTGCAATTCACAATAGTACATCTTGTGTATATTTATATACAATACTAAAAAAAGCCAGCCTATCAAAGCTTGTAAGTCTTCACTTTATAAAAAGCAACAACAAACTCATACAGAAGGCCCTTTGTCCAAAGGTTTCCTCTTGCAAAAATTCCACGTAACACTATTCAGGGAGTACCATCAAACATATAGCACACCTACACAGACACACATAGGCAGTGACTTGGACATCTGGCAAGACTCCATACATTTTTCATCATATTTTAAAAGCTATTCAATACTTGCATTGTGCTCGACAATACTGTCAAAGCATGTTTCAAGTCAGACCGACTCATTCTTATTCAAAATTTCCCCATAACACAATACTGAATGACCAACCTATCAGTATGTCTTAGGTCAGGTACGACTTGTATGTCCAGCCACGGTGAAGCTGTATTAAAGGACACAACGGTAACTGCTTTGTTAGGATGTGCACATGTCTTGTAAATGCTAAATGTGTTTACATTTGGCCAAATGTGGAGCACTAATCTGTAAGTTCCATCTTTTTTTTTTTTATCAAAATTAACTCAGTAATCTTAATACTGATCTCCACAGGGACCACAAATACATTATATGTATATTAGTTTTAAGTATAACATAGTATGAAGTCTGGCCAAGCCTATAGCTCTGGTGGTTAGACTGTAAAACAAACTTGACTTTGGCACATCACTGCACGTCTGGAGCAATCCAGTATTCGCTAGGTTACTGCAGGTCTGTATGACGTCACATCTATCTGAATACGAGGCGGCCATGTTCACCAAATAAATGCTGTTATAACCTGACGTTACTCCAAGAAGGCCCCATTACAACAAAGGTGGAACTGTAGCTGGGAAACTGAAAAACTATTCAGGACCTTGAAATAATAAAGACAGTTCACACAGTCACAACTAAATTTGGCATTCAGCTGCTGGGAGTTGAAATATGTTGTTTTGTGTGTCACGTTACCCTGCTTCTAAGTGGATGTTACTGTACAGTCCAAATGTACACCAGCATTGATACAAAATCTTCAGCACTTACATTAATTAACTAATTTGATGAACTGCTCACATGTTACAAATGTGTCATAGCTACATTCATTATAGCTACCTTCAAAAATACCTTGCTTGAGTTGTTTTTTTTTCAATTTGCTTTCGGTACACACTGTGCTTAAAAGCAACGAGGCAAAAAGAACTTTATGTTCTTTTCTATAAAAATTTACCTTTTTGAGAAAGTAAAGGGACGAGTAAGAAAACTGAGCACTGAGTTAGAAGAGAAGGATTCCATCTAGATTCACAGCAATATTCCAACTTTCAACAACAAACACAAACACGATCTCAATCTCACACACGCCACTGCACATCACCACCACACTCCTCCATTGTCTATAGAGTAACAATAAATGTAGGATTTCACAGAAATAATAAAATGTTAACAAAAACAAAGTGCAAACACAGCTGCCATTATCGAAATGTGGCAAATTGTCAAAAACCTCAAAATACCTCCGAGGCGGTAGCACAAATCTTACAAAATAGTACTTGTTCTTTCTGTAGTGTGTAAAAAAAACAACAACAACACCCAACAACATCAACATCAAAAACATCAAATTGACAACATGAAATTTGTGTATTGAACACGGTTGCGAGTCAGTAAGATTTCCACAGGAAAACTATTACTGCCGGGGGGGCCTGTTGGCTTTTCCTCTAATTCTCTGTAGCCTCTCGGTGAGACAAGTGCATCGGAGAGTCTGGTGGTGGTTGAGTTGATGGTGGCCGGTGTCACACAGGCTTAGTGTAACCAAAGATTCCCACCGGGAAGTGCTTGACATGTGTTGGCCACTGGGCAGCAAGCTGGAAAAACTTCACATCATTCCACTCCACTCCATCAATAGTGACTAAGGACAGAAAAAGGATCATGGTTAAATGGATGAATCGATGAAAAACACAATTAACATGTGAACCCGAGCTTGACACTGTGCACTGACAGCTGTTTAAGAGGAGATCATTCATTATTTATATGACTGTTACTATGCAAGATTGTGGGTGAGTCATGGTGTCAGCACCAGGTGGCAGTGCAGCTTCAGCTGTGGGGTTGTTCTGCCTTTACCTCTCAGCATCGTGTGCTGGTGCTTCGCTGTGCAGATCAACCTGCTGATACCATCAATCACTTGGCTCTTAGAGTCCAGCTCTTTCTCCTTGGGCTTCTTGCTGAGAAAAATCACTGCAAAGGGAGGTAGAGAGTGAGAGTGAGTCATTTCCTTCACATATTCTTCTGTACTTAAAGGGGAACTCCACAGATTTTACACATCAAAGTCTGTTTACAGTTCTTGGGAAGTACTGCGGCATATGTGTAAAAAAGTCTGAAAAAGCCTTCTGTGGTTCCAGAGGGAGTGGTGTGAAGTCTGATTAATGGCCTTGTGCTGTCGCTTGCATCTGAAGACTACAAGTTTGAAATAAGAACAAATATCTGGGGGAGAGGCGTTAGAAAGAAGTGCATTTACCTGGCCTGTATCCTGCTCCTCAACTCTGATTGAGGCTAATAGCTCTAGGCTACATAAGCTGCTACTAGCATAAGAAATCCAAATTGCAGACTGAACTGCCAGCTATCATGTTGCATTGTGGGCATTATAGACACCAGGTTTTGACAGAAGACTTGTGGATTTGTGGAATGAAAATGATATTTCTTTTTCTGCTGCGTCAATTTTTATCCTTTTTTTTAAAACTGTGCGTAAACAGGTGGAGTACTCATAACTTTTCCCAGCTCATCTCTCTTGCATGGACAATTTAGTTACAAAGTTTTGTTACATTTTGTGGGCACTAAGGATAAAAAAAAAAAAAAAAAAAAAATCACAAATGTAATGCAGCTAAATATCAAAAATGTTCATATTGTGCTTGTATGACAACCAATTACTAGGTACCATGTTTTCACTTTTTATTTCCATTTGCATGTGCGAGTCATATTTTCCAAGCATACCTTTCTTGTTCTTCTCCTTGGTAACAACAGTCATGGCCATGCTGGGCGGAGGGGTGAGTTCCCCTCCACAGGGGAGACGGCTAACTTGCAGCGAACGGAAATTACTCTTCAGGGTGTTCTTCAGTCCCACGTCTCTCTTCTCCCCCTCTTTCTTCTTCTCTGGACCTTGCCACGTCCAGTAGTCCACCTGGAGCCCCATCACCTCGTTGCCCGAACATGGAGAACTGACAAAAGGAAAAAGCAAAATCAGAAACACTACAGAGCAACTTGTTTTTTTTTGTGTCAGGATGTGTTTGTATTTGTTGATAAGTGATGTGAATCTTGTCGTACCCGGCTCCAGACAGGGCGGTGGACACAGAGGGAGACTGTGGTGGAGTGCCCCCAATCTCCTTCCCATACGGACCAGCCGATGGGGGCGTTGGGGAGGACAGGATGCTTGTGTTGCCCCCCATCGCATCATCTGAGTCCACTGCAAATTGGGAGAAAAATAATCTCATGCACAAAGCTTCAAAGTGAAACTAAACACTGTAAGAATACAGAATACTGTCGTCATAATCATACAACTGAAGTAAATATATGAAATGATATTACAGTTATTTTAGGGTTATTTTTTTCCTTACTCATCTGAATTTGAATCCAGTCCATCTAACACAGAAATGACACTCAAAATACCACCACACCTTTTAAAATTCCCTCTTACCTGAGGTCGAGAGGCTTTGCTCCACAATTCCAACTTTCACAACCTGTAGTAATAAAAAAAGCTTTCAAGGTTTGTAAAACAAAATTACACAGAAAAGAACAAACTAGCAATTCTGTCTGGCACTTTTGCATTGCAAAGACAAATTCTTACCCCAATAAATGGCACAAATTTCTGACAGGAGTCCTCATCAGGGCTGTAAAGAGAGAATGAAGAGGCTGTGAGTGAGACCAGAGTGTGAGTCTGAACACTTCAACACTCCAAAAAGGTAGACATGAATACTCAATGGTCC